GGCCTCAATTGTTTAGAAAACAAAGCCCTTTCCCCTCTTTCTCCTCTTCTTTACAAAGCCTTCATCTTCACACAACAGTCATGCACACTTGAAAATATCATCTCCAATCCTAGAATATTTATATATATATTGATCCGGTCCGAGTGGGCAGATGGGCAGTTCCACTCCTAGAATCGGAAACCAGATCAATAATCACCGGTTCTAATAAATTGGAATCGGGAACCGGACCGGTCCCCTTGGGAACCGCCGGTTTTGGGCTGGTCCAATGTGGTTCCAATTTATCGAAATCGGTGAGTACTGGTTTGCACCAGTTCTGGTTCCGAGCGATTCTCAGTTCCTTTACACACCTCTGTAAATTGCTGAGTTAAATGACACGTAGCAGTCGACAAATATATCAGTTGTGAGGTTTTACCTTCTATTTGTCACATGTGTACTAGTTTGTGATCTTTTTTGTATTAATCCATATTAACGGAGGTTAAATTTATCACAAATGTACCATTTCTTAAGGATTTTTGGTGGTCAAAAAATAAGTTTTGGATAAATTTATCATAGGTGTAACAGTTTAGGGTTTTTAGTAGTCAAAAAATTAGTTTTGAGTAAATTTGTCATATGTGTACCAGTTTAGGATTTTTCGTGGTATTAACCTAGGTATTTATGTGTATTTTTTTGTTTATCGATGCAGCGATTCCGTTGTGTCAACCACATCGAACTATTCATATAAGTTTTGGCTCTCGAGGCTTTTAGATTGGCTCGGCGAATCGAAGAAGGGGCTTGAACTTGGGAGTTGCCGTTTTTCAAGACAGAAGGCCCGAATAATTGCAATGAGATATTCATGTGTATTTTTTTTTTGTTTACTGATGCGGCGATTCCGTTGTGTCAGCCACATTGAACGATTTATATAAGTTTTGGCTCTCAAGGCTTTTGGATCGGCTTGACGAATCGGAGAAGAGGCTTGAACTCGGGACCTACAATTTTTCGAGACGGAAGGCTCGAGTTGAGCGCCTTATCGTCGCGAAGAAAAAAAAAACCCCCCTCTCTCTGTATATGTTGCTATTGTTTTCATTATGCGATAAAGAGGATCGACTCTACTGCCCTTTTCATGGCTATAACTTCTTCACTTGATATTTCTCATCTTGCCATGGGAGTCTCTAGATCAAAGCACTTGATACAATTCACTCCTAAAGTCGCTGAAATTAATAAAATCCTATCTTGATCGAAACTCATTCACTGAGTGCGTGAATGATAATCATTTTATTTCCCTGCTTTTCTATTTTTTTGGTTCTCGATAACAGGGTTGGAACAGAAATCCATTTAGTAAAATAATTTCATTTTTCTATTTTTGAGATAAATTTTTAGCCTATAAATAGGTTTGGAACAAAAATGAGCAGTTAAAATTTTCTACTTTTTAATTTCTAAAACAGAAAAAGAAATAACAACTCTCTTTTATTGCTCGCCCTCGCCGCGCCGCTGGCCCACCCATAGGCCGTTTGCCACTGCCTGCCTGCCTACCGCCGCTTACTGGGCGTCCACCCAATCCGTCGGGAGCAGAAATTTAAAAAATAACCTATCAAACGAATTTCTATTATAAGAATAGAAATCGTGTGTCGTTATCAAACGCTACTTTTTGCTTAAAAACTCGTCCGGAAAATAGAAATAAATTTTTCTATTTCCAGCTAGAAATAGGGCCCGGGAAGAAGAATTTTATCATTCGCGCTCTAACGGGCTCGTTTGGTTGTAGTAATATAAAATAAGACTGTAATGTAATAGTTATTATTTTTTGTAATGTAATGAAGTTGCAATAGCTTTCGCGCTTTTTAGTTTAAGTAATGTAATACCTATTACACTGCTTGATTTCACGAATGACATGTAATAAGGGGGAACAGTGTTAGAACTCCCGCAATACTAATCATAATCGGACGAAATATAATATTTATTACTTTAATAGTCACTCACGATTCACGAGTTTAATACTCCATAAATGATAGTAGATAAATATTTTATTAAATCAATATATTTTTCTAATAATTTGTGAATGGCTATGTCTAAAATTTAAGCAAATAAGTAGTTATAGTAATTGTCACTTCAATAGCCCATCACGAGTGTATTGCCCCCATATACATCATTAAGATATCGAAAACTAACATATGAAATTTTTTCTATTATTTAATAATTAATTTGTGACTATGATTTAACTCTAATGAGATAATACGTGAATATAATCGAATATAATTTAAATAATCGTAACTAATAATTATTATATCGCGGACGATTCTTAATATAATAAATAACATTGTATTGTCGAGGTAACTCAAACCCATTATTCCATAATAAATTTACATATGTCTCATATCATATGTTATTAAGTCAAAATAACTACGATTTGTGTTATGATTCAGGCAAATAGTATTTTTTTTAATTATAATTAAAAATCTACCATCGGTAGAGTAAGTGGAAAAAAACGACATGGGAAGTTGGGGATAACTTTTACAGCCATGCCCTAACAGGGATTGCGCCGTAATAGCTTTTACCGCAAACAAACAATGCAACAGACAGTTTATTTATAATGGGACTCGTACGTAAAGGTGATGGCCATTACTGCAACTAAACGTTCCATAAGCAATCGCACGACTAGGACCGTTTTACACACGTCCACATGTGAAATACTCGGACCACACTAATTACGACACTCCTCTTCGGCAAGAAATTTGTAGCGAGAAGTTCCTAATATAGGGTGATTTTCGAATTCATTAATCTTGCCCTTTTCCTCCTTGTATCAACATCAATCAATGTACGTGGTCAGCGTCCCAGCGGAGCCATGGAAAGGCACCGCTAGTCCCCTCAACAACAACATCGCAACATCCTAATCCCACATTCTCCCCGTCCATCTCCATCCTATCTTCTTCTATCCTCAGCCCCCCCTAAGGTTTAATTTCGACCCCACGAAAGAAGGCATCTTGGAAAACAAAATATATCTATCGAGTAATTACGATCCACCGCTAATGCCGGCGCCGGGGAGGTATCATTAAGGGCGATCGGTTCCCGGTCCGATTCCCAAAATTGGGAATCGGGGACCAGACCAATTGGTCTAGGATCGGGAACTGGATCACCGGTCCGGTCCAATGGAACCGGTTAATTAGGGTTTAATTCACATTTTGTTAAATTTTGTTAATGAATTTATGTCAATGAAGTTCACTTTAGGGTTTAGTTCGCATTTTATTAATTTTTGTCAATGAATTTATATGTCAATGAAGTTTACTTATGATTTATTTCACATTTTATTAATTTTTTTGAAGAAATTTTAAAAAATATATATATATAGTCGGTCCGGTCCAATTCCCCCTTAGAACCGGGAATCGGACCAAACTTGCCAGTCCGGTTTGGGCGATTTCCGATTTGGGCGGTCCGTTTTGCACACCCCTAGGTATTATCTAGCTCGGTACATTTCTTTTCCCTGCGAGGCGGCGATCTCGATTAAACAATGATCTCGAAACAAGAAAGAGCAGCCCCGAGTTCGGTACGACCGGCACCCGTCGTCGTCGATTGCTTCATTCCCTTTTTCTTTCCATCGAGCAAACTTCAACGGGACTTTCATTCGTCGACAAGTGCAATGACCACCTTTTCTTATTTATTTTTTTATCCTTTTCTTGTAAAAGGGTTCTCGTTAACGAGTGCATTTCCGGGCCCCCCGTTAAGCATGCTTAATTGGAAAATACCTTAATAATTGTCAAGATCACGATTGCACCAAACACAACAACACGAGAAAAACAGTTGGGTTCGAAAGATCTTTTGCGCTTGCTCATAGTACAAGGCAAACGCCAGAAAGGCCCAAAAAAAAAAAAAAAAAAAAAGGGGCCTGCCCTTTAACATTAAAGTTGAAAAATCGTGTCTCGCAAAAATCATAAAATAATAATTATATCAATATTAAATTCGAAAAATTTATTTCGGTTTTTTTTTCGGGCAAAAAAAAATACCGCGATGACATCCGAGTCACGCGCACGTGCGCGTGCGCACAGCAGCAACCCTCGTCAGAGGCCTCGAATTTCCGGTAGGATCCTCCCCCCCACTCGTGTTACTTTATAGTTTCGAGCAGACCGCGCGTCTGCTCTGCGCGCTATTTCGTCCTTTTATTATAAATATTGAATATCCCAAATTTTTTTTCCCTCCTTTTTCGAAAAAGAAATGCATATTAAAATAAAATAATTTTTTTTTTATTTAAAGGATGATAACACAAAAAAGGCCTTAAACTTTGATTCAACGTGCAACGTAGTTCCTGAACTTTTAATTTGTTCGATATAGTTTTCGAACTTTATCCCAATGCTTAATATGCTCCATGAACTTTTGGTACATGTTCAATTTAGTCCCCGAAGGGATTACATTGAACGTTTTCATATGGTCCTCAAGGACGACATTGAACATACTAAAAGTTTAAGGATCGCATTATATATTAGATTAAAGTCCGGAGACCACGTTGAAAAAATTAAAAGTCTGGAGATCATATTGCACGTATATCGCTCGGCCCAAGCATATTAACTTCATGGCCACCCCCTACCCTATCAAGACGTCTTTTGGGACTGAGATCCTCATGTACTGTTGTGTCATTTTCCCTATATTTAACACATAAGACGAGCCTCCCAAATTTTTCTTTTTTATGGTCGCAGATCCACAGCGTCCCATTTTCATTTCATTTTTATTTTACTAAATTAATTTTTTTTTTCCCGGAGCATATTTACACGAGTCAGATTGCGTCCTCTCTCCCCTCTCAATAATGTCGTAAGTTCGTAACACCACACCACACAAAAACGAAGACAAAGGCCAGAGTGCTGGAGCACTTGGCGAATCCTCCGCTCTCCTCACCATCCATCTCCCTCCCTCTCTCTCTCTCTCTCTCTCTCTCTCTAGCTCGAACCACCGTTGCGCCGCCAAGCGCAACCGCCGGCTCACCCGCTCGCACCGCCGGCGCCGATTCGAACGCGGCCTCCTCCGATCCGCTCCGTCGCCAATCCGCAGTCCCCCAAGCAGATTGGCCTCCCCCGCGTGAATCTCCGCCCGCCTCGGCGTCGGCCGGCTTCTCCCGCTCCTTCCGCTTCGGTTTCTTCGGATTCGGCCTCGTGCCGCGAATCGCGCGGGCGGCCGAGCTCCCTCTCTCCCCCTGCGGATCGATTTTCTCTTCTTTTTTTTTTTGGCGATGGCTGCGTCGCCGCTCTGCACGTGGCTCGTCGCGGCTTGCATGTCGGTCTCGTGCGAGGGGGGCGACGCGGGGAAGGGGCCGGCTTCGTGCGGGCTCCCGCGGAGGAGGAGGCGGCGGCTCCCCGTGTCGAAATGCGGCGGCGGGGGGAGCGCGGCGTCGTCGTTCGGCCTGGTGACCTCCTGCCTGGCCTTTGAGCCTTGCAGCGAGTTTTACAGCTCGCGAGCGGCGTCGTCCTTGGGATTGTTCGGCGAGAATGGATTCGCTTCGCTTTTCGGATCGAGGAATCGCCCGATGAATCGGAGGCAGAGGCGTCTGAATCCCGCCTCTGGTTCAGGTAATATTATTATTAATATTAACATTAATAATAGTATTATTATTGTTATTGTTGTTGTTGTTGTTGTTGTAGGCTAATTTGAGCTGTTATCGTTGATTATAGCTTATTTCCAATCTTGTCTTCACTGTAGTCCAGGTAGAAAGTTACTTTTATTCATGGCCAAGGTGTGCTCCATCCGTTGTCGAAAGCTTGATTTGCTGCTGCTTGTTTATTTATTTATCTAAAAAATATTTGTTTTTGCCGCATTTTTTGTTCTGATTCATCACTAGTTTCGTTTAAGCTTAAGAAGCTAGGGGAAAGGAGTCTACTTAGGAGATGGGAACGCATTTTCAATGATTGAGGTTGAGACTTTGCCAATCAATTCAATGTGTTTGCCTTGTTATCCTACCTGACTTTTTAATCTGGCCGACGTGCACGTTACGAAGGGAAATTGGGACTAAGGTTAATCTCTAAACAATAGAAAGAAACAAGGAAGGTTATGTGAATCAAATAGGTGGTAGGTTTCTAAATGTCCACATATCCAATAGAATTTTGGAGAAAATTACCCCCTCCATGGATTTTCCAGTGAAAAATAAATCTTGAGAAATTTTCCTTCTGAGCTTTTTGAGTTGTTTTTGTTGGTCAATCGGCAATTTAATGTGCTATGAATGTATATCAAGACAATTAGACGGCGATACTGTTTGATCAATCATTGCTCGTGAATGATGGAAGCGATTATGTTTTTCTTGCTTCGCGGGGTGTGACCTATGACTTAGGAATTTAACTCTTATCGTCACTGCCATCATTCATCTGACACTTGCCATGACATCCAAGCTCACTGCTTTCGGTTACCTGCCATCATATCATCGCAGGGCAGGATCATTGCTATGTCCATAAACTTGTTAGTTGCATTTCTAGCTGATCGATTTACTTTTTGAGATTCAAAAAACTCACAACACTTCGTGATTGGTGATTTAGGTGAAGTCATGGCTGTGGCAGTGCAAGCTGCTCCAGAGTTTGTCACGAAGAAGAAACCTGTGACAAAGCAAAGACGTGTAGTTGTGACGGGGATGGGCGTCGTAACCCCACTTGGTCATGAACTGGACACTTTCTATAACAATTTGCTTGAAGGTGTTAGTGGCATAAGTGAGATAGAGACCTTCGACTGTTCCCAGTTTCCAACGGTAACGCTTCTTGCTTATGGAAGATTTCTACCCTACTGCTGCTTGTTCTGAAACTTCTTCATGATGCCCCATCTTTTACATTTACAGAGGATTGCAGGAGAAATCAAGTCATTTTCAACTGATGGATGGATAGCACCAAAACTTTCTAAAAGGATGGATAAATTCATGCTTTACATGCTTACTGCCGGAAAGAAAGCCTTAGCAGACGGTGGAATCACAGAAGATGTAATGAATGAGTTAGACAAAACTAGATGTGGTGTTCTGATTGGCTCTGCAATGGGGGGCATGAAGGTAACATCTAACTCCTGTGATGTTTCTTGAGATGATTGCTTCAAAGATGGAAAATGTGTGAAGAGATTGAGGACAAGCTCCTTCGATCGACTCATTTTCACATCTGCAGCTATCTTCTTTATGAGAGGACAATGACAATTTTGGGATGATGTCCATGTTGAGTTTTGTGTGCTTCAAAATGTAAAGGGTATCTTTGAAGGGACACCTAACCAGTGAATGTGACTATATTAGAAACTTTGTGCTCTGTAGTAAGTTGGTTGCCATGTGGCCTATGTCACAGCCGCATTGTTCCCAGATGGGACAAGGAGGCATATTAAACCTGCAATTCATCATTGTTTTGTTAGTTTGCTCTTTAATACCATTTTTCATGTCAACTGTGCAGGTATTTAATGATGCCATTGAAGCTTTGAGGATTTCATACAGAAAGATGAATCCCTTTTGTGTACCTTTCGCCACTACAAACATGGGATCTGCTATGCTTGCAATGGATCTGGTCAGCTTATTAATTGCATGAAATTATATGTTTTTTTTTTCTTTTGATGGAAAAGATATATTTAATAGATACTTTTTACACACTCAATTGCAGGGATGGATGGGACCTAATTACTCAATATCTACAGCATGTGCGACAAGCAACTTTTGTATATTGAATGCAGCGAACCATATAATAAGAGGCGAAGCTGTAAGTGTTCAAAAATCAAAACATATATCGAAATGAAAACAAAATCCTTTAGGTCCTAATTTGTCCTTGATATTTGGTTAATACGATTCTTTTAACTGGAAGCTTAAATATCAGATTGTTGGTTCAACTGTGTTTTCTTCGTTTAAGGTGTGACGATTTTGCAGGATGTCATGCTTTGTGGTGGTTCTGATGCAGCAATAATTCCTATAGGTACTCATCTCCTTCTGGCTGCTCCACGTACTGTGCTTGTAGTGATTTGGTGTGCCATGAGTTGATATTTTCAATAATGCATGCTGCAGGTTTGGGAGGTTTTGTTGCTTGTCGGGCACTATCGCAAAGGAACAATGATCCCACCAAAGCTTCTCGACCGTGGGATATGGTAATGTTACCGCATCCGTTTCTTTTCCACTGTCTTGCTTCTTATCTTTTACTGTTATTTTTTCCTTGGACTATAGGGTCTGATGTCTTTTAAACAAGTGCCTGTTGGTAGCGCACTATTAAAACTTTTTGCCGCAAACATCACATATAGAAGTTCTTTTTTTTTCAATTAGTTGAGCCATTTGGAGTAGTCTGTGTTTGAAACTTTTTCCACAATTAGTGCTGACTTTGTAAATTAGGGGAGGTCGCAAACTAGGCTAGATTTTCATGGAGAACTTATATGTATGTGTGAGGTCACTTTGCCTGTGTATTGGAATTTGCACAGTAGGTGCATCACGGTATCTCTAGGTTATACATGTGCGAACTACTTTTAAGTCATTCTTATCAGGATCTCGATGGAAGTTTTCACTTTTTTGACTGAAAAACTTTAATCATTCTTTTATATGGCATGTGTAGTAAAGAAGACTTACAAAGCTCCTTTTCTTTTCCCCCATCTCTTATGATATTATAAGGAATCACTTTTATTGGCATCCTAACCTTCTATTTTGTCTGCAGAGTCGTGATGGTTTTGTCATGGGAGAAGGAGCTGGTGTGCTGCTCTTAGAGGAATTAGAGCATGCTAAGGTATATCTGATAAAATCCCTGTCACAGCTACCTGATACTAGAGCATTACCAATCTTGTGCTGCTCAGCCTAACAATTGAATATCGAAGGACCTGTTTTCTTTTGTAGTGGTTTCCTGTTTCTATTCTCTACTGTTATGGTGCAACTGAAAAAAGATAATGATCCATCCCTCTTTAAGATTCAGTCCGAGATTCTATGTTCACCGTTCCATTTTGCACAAGGAATTTCACATACCTGTGTGTTCTATAGGCATATTTAGCTCTTTTAAGTATTTCTTCATACTTTGTGCTAATTCATTCTCTTGAACTGGGGATCCTGTGCGCACATAGTCATATTTTACTCTCCCAATTTTGCTGATGCTAAAAAAATTACATTTATGTTTCTAATTGTTGGCTTAGTTGAAGTTAAAACGGACCTATTATATGCTGCTTCAAATTTTATTCGTTAATGAACTCATTCATTTTATGATGCTGTTCTGCAACTTAGCTCAAGAACAGATGTGGAGTTTAAGGGGGAGATTGCATTAGAATTTATGAGTATTATGCCCGGAGAAATTTAATCAAGTCTCAAACAATTAGCAAAAAGTGCATTATAGTCCTTAACCTAGACCAAAAAGTGTAATTTAAGGCTGCAAAGCAGGCAATTTCCAAGTGCCATGTACGCAATTTTTTGGTGCTGTTCAATGGAAGAACTTAATTGCACTTTATGAAATACCGTTTAGAACTTTTTTGTACCAATTGAAAATTATGTTCTTTGATCCTATTCGGATAAATATTTGTTACTTTATACTTTTCCCCGAGTCTAGGAAGCAAATTCAAGTCAACAGCCTTTTTCAAATTGTACATACCTGAAATGCAAGACTGTTTTTCTTCCTAAAAGCAAGGGCTGTTGCTACTCTTACTAGCTACCAGTGCTGGTTAAAGATTTTAGCCTTTAATTTGAGATCTTGAAAGTGCTCTCTGTTTTAAACACCCACATTTACTAAAAAAGTGGAAGAACCTTTATATTATGCTGAACTTTTGAAGAGTATTGTTTTTTTTTTTTTTTTTTTGTAACCCGGGAACCCCCCGCACGGCCGACAGCCGAGGAGGTAAACCCGGGGTGACGCTAGCGCAGGACCCACCACCACGACGTCACGCTTAAGAATCCCTAACGCCAGCGCTGGGATTCGAACTCCTACCCTTCGTGGGGGGAGGGGAGCCCGAAGCCAGCGCAGCCGCTGAGGGCGGTGGTTTGAAGAGTATTGTTCCACTTTACTAACTGATAAAAAAATTAACCCCTGTTTTCACTTTGGGCCAGTCTCTGGATTTCAAGCCTCTGTTTCCTGTTTTGATGAGTAGTTCATTGTTTAAACTTTAAAGTGTCGATGCTGTCTAATTTTGAGTGTGCTCTTAATTCTGCATAGCTTTTAATCTTCTGGTTGCATGCCTTTCCGTGCATTAATATTAGTCACAGGTATTATGAAGAGAGAACTCTTTTAGTAGTTAAGTCAGTCAATGCTTTGTCAAGTAGGCTAGCTTTCTATCTTTAACAGTTGATTAGATAGCATTTTCTCTCAAAACGTTTCTAGTTAGAGCTTAGTTGCTTGATTTATTATTCATTTTGCAGGAAAGGGGTGCAGATATCTATGCAGAATTTCTTGGTGGAAGTTTTACTTGTGATGCCCATCACATAACTGAGCCTCGCCCAGATGGTAATTTTCTTTTCTGTCTCTGGTTAAACATATGCATTCTTTTGAGCATTAGATTAGTTAATTAAAGTAGCAGATAGTAACCTTTAAATGATTGTAGCAGACTTTTCTGTGGTAGAATTTCTTCATTCCCTCAACTTTTGCTTGAAGAGAGGATGATTGATAACATGATCGGGAAACTACTATGGTAAACATATTTATATTCTACACATGGTAGAGGGTTAAATGACATAGAAGATAGAATTTTGATTGTATTATTGCATATTCCATTGAAGTTGCATATTTGTCTACTGTATCAAAATTTTGTACATCATCAATAATAAAAAAAATCCTACCTGTTTATTATTAGTTCCTCATCCAACTTTGTTTATGCAACATCACCATCTCGTCTACTATTCATCAAGGTGATTGTTCCACGCTATTAAAGCTATGCATCATGGTAAGATTAGTCCTAAACTTTGAATAGTAAAGTATACTTAATTATTTCGACCGAAAAAAAAAAAAGGTAGACTTAATTATAAGTTACAAATAGATCCTGGTAAACTACGCTTCTGTCTATAAAGAAGAGTTTCTCGAAGCTGTATGTCTGTAATGGAAGTTTAGCTTGCCCGCTTGCCCCATTGAGAACAGTTGAAAGGCACAGTAAAACACAAACTTGTCATAGTAATGGTCAGTTTTCAGTTTTTCTCTAGTATCTGGTTCTCTAGTCTATTTCCTAGCAATCTTCCTTCACGTATAAAAGTTAGGATTGCCTATCGGGAATGAGGGTATGGAGCAATCACTTGTTTGATTTTTTTCAAATTGCTGTATGTCATTTAGGCATGCAAACCTCTTCCAATATGAAAGGTTGCTTCAGCAAATTAGAGTGGTTGCTTTAACAAACTTTCTCGTCAAAATATGGAACTTGTCAAATTTATCCTTTGATAAACAGGGGTTGGCATCATGATGTGCATAGAGAATGCCTTAGCTCAGGCTGGGGTGTCCAAGGAAGATGTAAATTACATCAATGCTCATGCTACATCCACTATGGCGGGAGACATTATGGAGTACCAAGCTCTCACTCGTTGTTTTGGCAAGAATACGGAGGTAAGCTGAAAACGTAGACTTCCTTCCCAGCTCCTTAAATTTGTTCTCTACAATGTTCTGGTGCTTCATGGAGTTTTTTTCCATTGATCATATAGTTGAGAGTGAACTCTACAAAGTCTATGATCGGTCACCTCCTTGGAGCAGCTGGTGCAGTGGAAGCTGTTGCAGCAGTTCAGGTAATTAATTCCCAGTTTGTTTTAGATAGAGAGTGTTAGAAACTATAGGATTTTATATAATGTGGGTGGCTGTTGCAGTCAAGAGTCGTATCAGGTATCTAATGAATGCATCAATTTTGCTTACCTTGGCTACAAATAAGTTCAGTAAATCAAATGGGTCAATGTTGGTGCCCCATTATATGTATTTTCTCCTCCTTGTCAGATATAATTTAGCTTTTAATCACGTGCCGTTCACATGCAGGCAATAAGGACAGGGTGGGTCCATCCAAATGTTAACCTGGATACCCCGGCTGATGGAGTGGTACATTTCCTCCTTGTCCTTGTCTCTTTTTCAGCTAGAGCTCAAACCTGTTACGTGACATTTACATGGATCTACAGCAGTGGATAATCTTGCTATAAATCTGTGATTCGCTTTGATTAGGACACGAGCGTGCTAGTCGGTCCAAGAAAGGAGAGGGTGGATGTCAAGGTTGCCTTATCTAATTCATTCGGTTTTGGTGGCCACAACTCCTCGATCTTATTTGCTCCTTACAAATAATATGGCTACTCCAATTACCTTCGATATTTATAGAGGTACGTCGGTACATACTAGTTTGTCACATCAGTTGTTGAAAGATGATTTTTTGTTTCTTTTTTGCCTTTTCTCCATTTCTTCCTCTTCTTGTTCATGTGTTGTGTGGCTGTGGATGCACTGCATTACATGTATAGCCTTGAGAACAATGAGGGTCTCACGGGGCGCATAATTGATGATTCCCACTTAAACATGGATTCGGGGGTTTGGGGAAAGGCGGGCCAGTACAGGAGGCTGGTCACCACTGGTTGTGCAATGTTGGACTTTAGTGAGATATTCATTTCGACCAGAGACTTTTAAGATTATAGGGCTCCATTTGTATGTTCAACATCATTGCTATATCTCTTGCTTTACCGAGTTCTTGGATTATTGTTTGTTAACATCAAATTGGGTGTTGATAATTTCTTGATCTAAATCATGCAGCTATTGCGGCCAAATGGCATCTCATAGGCGTGCTACTTCGTGGCCGATTGCTCGCACGTGGCCAATGTATAATTCGGTCGGTACAAGCTCGGGGGATGCATTGAAGTCTTTACAGCACCATCTGTAGCATGAAGGTCGATACTCGTGATTCGCTAATTGCTCATACTCTTCCGCTATCATTTTTCGCTAGAATTGTTGGTTTCTAGTCATCGGTGTGAGCCATAGAGGGCCTTGATTTAGAGCCCACCATACCACAACAAGCTCGGCTCTGTTAGCGCCCGTTGTACAAGTAGATGGCTCCTCAAAAAAATGTTTCACCTACTCTGTTTTCACTACCGGATGAGATACTTAGCTGTTAGTCGATTTTAACTGAAGTTTCATGACTGATCTCGGACAAATCTTGTTGTTTGATGAGGCAAACTATCGACTCCATCGACTAGCGGGTTTTTCTCGACTCTCTACATTTTCAATGGAAACAGACGATTTCTATGTATTCTGCTAGCGATCACAAGTCACTCCTCTTCCTGATGAATTCGTTAAAAGAGTCGCTCCTCTTCCTGATGAATTTGTTAAACGAGTCACAACGAGCCTCATCAATCTTTCTAGTTTCCCAACTGTCGGCGCGCAATCTTTTATGTGAGGTCACTGTTTAATAAAGGGCCAGTGATGGTCAGTGTGCTTTGCCTGTACGTAAATGCACGAACCAGCCCGAATTCAATGGTGTACCGAAACATGACATGACGACGATATTGCAAAAGACCGAGAGCTAAAATGACCTGTCTAATGATATTACGATATACGGTAACGTTATTCATTCGCTCATGCTTTACCTTATTTCATGGCACATGTATGGTTCTGCTGAACGAGGAAAAGAGAAGTCTTGCCAATGTACGTCCGTTCCCACATGACATAGCTTCTGGGTTCGTGGGCGTGTCTTGCTAGTTTCACTCGTCTATTGTCGTTTAACATATCAATCACATAGTACTAACTTGTTACGCAAGATGAAATTCACGATGATTTGTTTGTGCCCCATTAAAGTAAAAGAAACAACACTGCGCATATCATATCCGAAAGCTGAAAATAAGAACGCTTAAATTTAGTTTGATGATATTGCACCGAAATGCAGTCTCCATCCTCTTCTTTCCTACGAGACACGCCTCCCCACCGTGGACGCCTCTCGTCGTCTGTCCGTATTCAATTGAATTCCGACGCCAAAAACTTCAATCACGCCATCAATGGACCGCCATGCACCTCACCGTCTTCAATGAAGAAAATCTCAACAACCAAAAATATCCCGAACACAATAAATTCAGTAACCGTCACCTACTTCCCTTCCCTCTTTACTGTCTTCTTTCCGAGAAAATATTCGATGGTTACAAAGTGCCACGTCATCTTTCCGAGAAAATATTCGATGGTTACAAAGTGCCACGTCAATTGCTGATGTGGCTTGTGTTTTTTGCTAATATCTAATAATAGATTGACACGTGTCGGTTGAGTTGGAATAAAAAAAGAATTTGATTTTTCTCATCTTCCTCCTCCACCCACTTTTCTCTCCAAATCTAGTTGTCGTTAGATCCATCAAATGGGTGGGTCAGGTCGAGTCGAGTCGAAAAATGGTCTGACCCAAATTGACTCATTTAACCCGTTTTGACCTATTTTTATGCAATACAAATCTAGTAACCCATACCCAACCCAACTCATACCAAACACGTACCCAACCCATTTTGCTAAAACACTTACATATTTAACTAAATTTAAGAAAACTCATATCCAATTGATATGAGAGCGCGGAGTGAGCGAGCGCGAGATCAAGTGAAAGCGAAAAAAGTGCGAAGAGAGAGTCATAAAGATGGGTTGAGTCTAAGTAGTTGTCAACCCATTTAACATCCATATTATTTTGGGCTTTACCATATTAACTAATTTATGACTTATTTCTTGAATATAACTAACCCATATAAAAACTCAACCTATCAAATATGGGTTAATAAATGGGTCTATAACCCATTTTAATAGGTCTAATTGTTGTCCAAGGCCGCTGGCGCCGCTTTCAAGCATCTTTTTGGCTGGCCGACTCTTCAGATCTGACCATTCATGGCCGCTAGAGCCAACCGTCGTTGCTCGCAATTGTCAGCGGATCTATAGTCATGGCGGCCAGATCTGGACTTTGTTGCTCGTAGTCATCGCCATCAGTGGATGGACAAACTCTAGTCATGGCTCGTCGTTGTGTCGTTGTCGTCGGTGGATGGACGAGCAAAGCTTACGGCCATGGGTGAGGCTAGATCTGGACAAGCAACAATGGAGCCGACCGCGAGCGATAACGGAGGCGTAGCTTGGGCCGACTGCAAGTGACGCCGGAAGGGGTGGAGATGGTGGCCGGACGGGGTGGTGCTATGTGATAGTGGAGTAAAAGGAGAAAAATCAGATGTTTATTATTTTATTCCATCTTAGCTGGCATGTGTCAATTTAGTATTGGACACGAGTAAAAAACGCGGCCTGCCACCAATTATTTTCTCCTTGTTGCTGCCCTCTCGTGTTCTCACCTTTCTTTTCACCTCTAGAGAATATCTGTTCGCACTTGTCTCGTTCTTGACAATACAATGACACCAAATTAGTTTGCTCTGGCTGGCTTTTTGGTGGAGCGCATGAGACCACACAGCCCTCTCCTTTGAAAAAACGTTTTTCAAACTATACATCTGGAGTGGGTAGTGAATGTATGTTTCTAGAAAATGACTTGTTGGCCATCATCCTACACCTCTTTTGTCAATGCGTTAGGTGGTAACTAAGTTTCATAATCAGCAACACAACCACGGCGATTTTCACCATTATGATGTGCTATTCGAGGCTGCTGCTCAACTACTGCTTCCAATAGGTCCCTCGAAAGGAAATCGTTTAGCTAGGTGCTAAATGCACAGGAATCCTCTGATTTTATGCGCGCGCGTGTGCGGGTGCGTGTTCCTTTCTAAAACAACTAGGTTAGAGACATAGGAATGTCCTAATCCTGAGCTCTCGAAAAATCGGACTCCTTTCAGTCACCAAAAGTAGGGTTAAACATGGAAAGAAAGAGCTCGACTCTAGTCCAGATCCGTCCCCGATGCCGTGCCTCGATGCCCTTCCGATGCGCTATAGATCATGGATGATGTATAGAAGAACGCTCTGTTCCTTTTTCTTGATGGTTGGGGAAAAATTTCCTGACCTACTTCATGTTCAAACAGTTTTAGTTGAAGTTGAAGGTAAGATCGGCTCCTGAAGAGCGACCCGTTTGTAAGAGCCTAATCAGCTAGATCAAGAGAGTACAATAAACTCAAAAATGAAGGTAAAAGTACTCATAAACATACACAAACACTAGCCAAAACGGAAGCATGTATGGTATGCACATTTTAAGATGTACCTGCATATAGTTTGTTCACCCTCCATAAACACACTCCAAGTTACTCTATAGTTCGAGTAACTTTTCATGCAAAAATAGTCCGAAGAAATGAAAATCACACCATATACCATGCCCACAAACGTAAATGCGTGCATAAATATCTGTATATCTACAAATCCACATATGTCATCGGTCCAAAATTCAAACTCGATTACATATTTGTAACTTCATGGAGACACGGGGAAGAGAGAGAGAGAGAGAGAGAGAGAGAGAGAGAGAGAGAGAGGAGGTTTGAACTTTGAAGGACCCACGAGAATAGTATTCTGCTACCACACATTCCAAGAGCCAGCGAGGTCAGAGCCGTCCATCATCGCCGGCCATCACAAACCCGGTCCTTCTTGCCGGCCTCCTCCCCCTGCCGCTTCGACGGCGGCTCGTGCTCTCGTCGAGCCGATTGATCAGGTACAGCGCGTTGCTCGTGACCCTCGCCACATCCGAGATCTTGCGCCGCACGTCGCCCTTCACGTTCCCGTCCACCTCCTGGAACCCGTCGAGGCACGTGTCCTCGTTGGTCAGCGCCGCGCTGACCCACGTCTCGGCGTTGCTGAGCTGCCAGCGCAGCTCCTCCCCGCCCCTCAGGTGCTTCAGCTCCGCCATCGACCGCCTCAGCTCGTCCACCGAGTCCGACATCTGCTCGAGGCAGTCCGCGAGCGCCCCGCGCTCCCGCTTGGACTTGAAGCTGGAGGCCTGGCTGCTGAGGTAGCTGGACGTGCGGCGGGCGTGCGAGAGGCTGATCTTGAGGGCCGCCCGGGCGACGTCGCGCGGGTTGTCGGTGGGGCCCGCATAGGAGGAGAGGGTGCGGAGGCAGAGGTCCGGGTAGCGCGCGTGGGAGCATGACGATCGGACAAGGTCCTCGCTGTGGGGCGCCACATTGTGGCCGCGCGGGGCGGCGCAGCAGCGGGTCGCGACCAGGAGGAGAGTGAAGAGTGTGAGTGTGGAAGGAGACATTGGAAAGAGAGGGAGATAGAAAGTATGTTGGTGAGATGATGTTTTTCGTATTGGATTGGAGCGAAAGTGGTGGTTGGGATGGTTTTATAGGGGGAGTCTGCATGTGTTTAATGCCCATGAATTAACGTTCTAAATTCTATGCGTAGGACGATCATGAACACGAGAGTCGACAAAGATAAGTTTTCTTTACACTTTAGTCGTGAATTATTTGATCGAAAGAAAAGTTATAACGTTCCAATCTGCTTAATTTACAAGGAGAATCAGTTATATGCAAAATTTGATATAATACTTTTGTGTGTTGTGATGGATCTTATAAATGAAATGGCGTACAAAGTCTAGCTAAATCAAAGAAAGTTAACCTACAAGACTCTAGGAGAAAGTTGACACCTTATAGAGCATTAGCTACGTACCTCATGCATAGCTATCCATCTTTGCTTGCAACAACTCTTGTACGATGGCAACAAAGGCTCTTCAAAAGTCTAATATAACCCACACCGGTCAGGCAATCCACCCATATACCGAGCAATTATATCGTCAAAAAGCATAGCGATCCATACTTCGAAAGGAGACCTCAAGAGAATGCACAAAAAACAGCACTTCGAATCCAGAATTCGCATGGGAAAGTTCAAGGCATGCTCGGGTTACAATAGCGCAAGAATAATAATTCTCTCAGAAAAGGTGATTCGACTTAAAATGCTAAGCTATCATCTTGCAATTATTTAGTATAGTCGACTTCAATTAGTAACATACAATAGCGTCCGAGAGAGAAACCCTAGCTTAGGTTGAAAGTGAGATCTACACTTTGTGCAGTGCACCATGTGTAAGCTGTGATCCACATTAATGCAGGACATTCATTCATGTGGCCCAATGTCCCATGCTTTTGGCAGCTATTCTCATCTCAATAATTCCCTACCGAACCCCACCATTCCCCTATAATTCTTCGCCTCCAAAGTAGAGGAGTCACTGTTTTTTTGCCTTTTTTAAACTAGGATTACTACCTTACCTTTACTAAAAAGAAATATTGTACAAACATATCTTATCAACATTTTGATCTTAATAAGGCTTGTTGTAATATTAACGAACGTGGAAGCTAACTCGGATCTTGCAAATTAAGTCAATACGAAAACAACCAGAGAAATAACGAGGAATGATAAGGATACCCAAGATTTACGTGGTTGTTCCTCATGTTAAACTTCTCAATTTCAACTAGACCTGTTAAACGGGTGGGTCGGGTCGAGTTTGGGTCGGGTCATAAATAGTCCGACCCAAATTGACCCATTAACCCGTTTATGATTCATTTATTTGTAATGTAAATATCCAGACCCATACCCGACCCGACCCAACTCATACCGACCCGACTCATATTGCTAAAACACTTATATATTTAACTCAATATAGGAAAACTTATTTCTTATTACTTTTTTTAAAAAATTATAATACTAAAACATTTTCATACAATACAATTTTTAATTATTTTTTATTTTAAATATATTTTTATTCTTTTAAAATCCAATTTTTAATTTTTTTAATTTTTAATTTTTCCTTTATTTTTGGCCGGTGGCTGGCTACGACGACGACCGGCGTTCGGCCATCGGCCACAGGCGAGGACGAGCTCACCGGAGGTTGGCGAAGCTCGAGCTCGCTGATCTGACAAGGCTGAGGCCTCGCCGGCCTCAAGCGAGCCTCTAGCTCGCCCGATTCCGGTGATCCGAGCCTCGCCAGCCTCTAGCGAGTTCAAGTCTCGCTAGATTGGCGAGGCCTCGGGCTCACTGAAATCGGGCGAGCTCGGCCTCGTCGGCCTGTGGCGAGACTTGAGGTCGCTGGCCTCGGGCGAGCTCGACCTCACCTGAGGCCGGCGAGGCCTCGTCCTCGCTAGATCGATGACCTCGAGCTTGCCCGAGGTCGAAGCCTCGCCATAGGCCGGCGAGGCTGAGCTCGCCCGAGCTCGCCCGATTCTGGCGAGCTTGAGGCCTCGCTGACCTGTGGCGAGGTTGGTCCTCCCTTATGGCCTGTGGCCGACCGTCGCCGTGGCCGGCCACCGGCCAAAAAGAGAAAGAGAAAAAAAATAAAAGAAAAAGAAAAGAAAAGAAAGGAAAAAATAAAATAAAATTTGATTTTTAAAAAAAATAATTTTATAAAAAGGGGGTGGGCTTAATGAGTGGGTTGGAAATGAGTTCCACACTCAACCCATTAAGACCCATTTATGATAGGCTTAAAACTTTAAGACCCATTTAAGATGGGTTCTTTAAAGTTGTATTGACCCATTTATTTTTTAAATGGGTTATATATGGGTTTTAAGACTCATTTAACAGGTCTAATTTCAACTTTCGTCCCCATACATAATTGCAACAATAGAATTTCTAGATAATAAGCAGACAAGCAAAAGCCCCAAATCACAATCAAGAAAATCCAATCCTCAAACTCTGATACTAAAAAGGAAGTGTTAATGAGGAAAGCAAGGAGTAGAATCTTGTTGAATTTATCGGATGAGGTGTTAATAGAGGTAGTCGAGGAAAAGGATGCTGCGGCATTGTGGATAAAACTTCAGACACCCTATGTAACGAAGGGTTTGAACAATCGCTTGTACATGTTGAAGATAATGTTTCAGTTTAGATATACTGAAGGTATGTCTATCAGATCCCACTTATATGAGTTTAATAAACTCATGATGGATTTAAAGAACATCGGTAAGATTCTTAATGATGAAGAGCATAGCATGATGTTGTTAGCTTCTTTATCAGAGTCATAGGAGCACTTTACTAATTTATTACTATAGGGCCGTATTACAATTACCTTGGAAGCAGTAAAGTCCGCCTTGTTCTCTAAAGAGTGGCAAAGGATGTTGCGAGATGACAGTTAGCACAAGATGTAACGTGGGGACTAGTGATTCGAGGTAGAGATCAACATCGGGGGTCCAGTATTAGCAGACGTAAAAGCAGGTCGAAGTCACGTCATAGAAAGTCCAAGGAAAGCGTGAAATGCTTTGAGTGTCATGAAGAGGGGCACATTAGGAGAGATGTTCCAAAGCAGAGAAACCAAAGTGACAGACAGACACAAGCAGTGCGGTGATTGTTGCCAAGGAGAGCACTAGTGATGCGAAGGCTATTTTGTTTAAGAGTACTAGTTCATCAAGAGACGAATGAGTGCTAGATTCGAGATGTTCTTATCATGTGACACCTCATAGGAACTGGTTTACTACTTACCAGACTACATATAGTGATAGAGTTATGATGGAGAATAATGTAGCCTGTGAGGTTGTGGGGATAGGGATCATGATGGGGTGGTGCGCACATTGACAAACGTGAGGCATGTACCGGAGCTCAAGAAAAACCTTATTTCTCTGGGGACACTCGATGACATCGGGTGTAAGTATGCTGTTGAAGGTGGAGTACTGGAAATCTCTCGAGGTGCTACGATAGTGATGAAAATGAAGAAAGTGAATACTCTCTATCATCTACCGGGAGAGACCGTGATAGGAGCTGCTGCAGTTTCATCAAGTGAGTTAAACTTTGACTTAACTTAGTTATGGCATATGCGATTAGGGTACATGAGTGAGGCTGGTATGACGATTTTGAGTGAGAGGGGAGTTCTTGAAGGGTTAGTAGACAAGGAAGCTGGACTTATGTGAGCATTGTATTTTTAGGAAGCAGTAGTGGACTAAGTTTACTACAGCTATTCATTCGACCAAGCGACCGGTTGAGTACATTTATTCAAACGTTTGAGGCCCATCTCAAGTTCCTTCGAAAGGAGGTGCCCGATATATGCTATTTATCGACGACTATTCGAGGAAGATATTGGTATACTTTCCGAAGCACAAAACTAATGTGTTAGGTCGATTCAAGAAATTTAAGGCATTGATTGAGAAACAGTCAGATAAACAAATCAAGTGCTTGAAAATCGATCACGACATGGAGTTATGTGGTATAGATTTTACCGATCCGTGAGAAAGAAAGGATTGTGAGACACCACATAGTACCTAGGACACCACAGCAGAATGGCGTAGCAAAATGGAAGAACAGAACTTTACTTGAGTGAGCTTGATGCATGCTTTCGCATGCAGGACTAGGCAAGGAATTTTTGGCCGAAACAGTGAATACGGCATGTTACCTGGTTAATTGATTTCCATCATCTGCTATTGAGTGGAAGACTCCTGAGGAAATATGGTCGGGGAAACCTATCTATTACTCCAGATTACGAGTATTCGGATGTTCTGCGTATGCTCATACAAGTGATGGTAAGCTTGAGCTCAGGGCAAAGAAATGCATATTTTTAGGTTATGTACATGGGGTGAAACACTACCAGCTGCGGTGAACTGATGCCAAATCACCCAATTTTCTAATAAGTAGAGATGTGATTTTCGACGAGACTGCAATGCTTCAACAGGGGAGTTTTGAGACAGTACTAGTAGAGTAGACGGATCATGGTGTCAGTAATGAGGTGGAGCTTCGGGTGGAGACTCTGGAGATCTCGGAGGTTACATAGGTTGATATTGTAGATGAGGCCACAGTTCCTAAAGTCGGCGTAGTGAACAACCAGCACAGCCGCAACACACCATAGCTGCGAGTAGATACAGAAGGTGGTTATACTGATATTACTTATGCATTGACTGTAGGTAACGAGGTGGAGACAGATAAGCCTTTGTCTTACTCTAAGGCGATGGCTAGTAGTGAGTCGTTACAATGGCTAGGGGTTACGAGTGAAGAGATTGAATCACTCCATCGAAATTAGACATAAGAGTTGGTCAAAGTACCCAAGAGCCGAAAGATTGTCGGAAGCAAATGGGTTTATAAACAGAATGAGGGCATTCCTAGTGTTGAGGAAACAAGAAATAGGCGAGACTTATAGCGAAAGAGTATACACAGCGGAAGGGCATTGATTACATCGAGTTATTCTCTCCTGTGGTAAGACATACTTTTATTCGTGTATTACTTGCCTTAGTTACTATATAGGATCTCAAGCTTGAGCAGCTAGACTTGAAAATGACATTTCTTCATGGTGAGTCAGAGGAGCAAGAAAGTAGAAGTGGGTGTTCTCTCTCGACTCTGGTCTTGAAAAATGTAGCCACACAGTGAAGAGTCCTTCATGAGCGAATAGTGGCCTCACGACGAACAAGAACAGTGAAGGATGCCGTGAGTTCTCTTCAAGAAGCTT